CGGCTCCTTTCGCAGGCGGGGCGGCCGGGAGGGCCGCGGGCTCCGGAGCGCCGGGCGGCGGTGGTGGCGCGCCCCCGGCCGGCCAGGCCCCGCCGCGCGCGCCGCGGCCACAAAGCCCGGGAGCCGCCGCCCCCTCGTGGGCCGACAAGCCGGCTGCCGGTCCGTCGGCGCGGAGCAGGGCGGGAGCGCGGCCCCGCGCAGTCCCCACCTCCCCAAGCTGCGGCCGCCGGGCTCCCCCCGAGGCGCGGGGCGGGGCGCGGGATGGCCCCCGCCTACCCTACCCCCTTCCTCCTTGCGGCCCTCGCGGTGCTGATTGAGTTCCCTCTTGCCACCTCTGCGGAGGAGCTCCTGGAGGGCCCGAGAAACTGTTTCATCTCCGGGAACAACAAAAGAATGCATTTGCCACAAGGGATTTGGCGGCCATGGACACGAGTTAGCTCCGTCTAAGTCCTCTGTCTGAAAAGGGCCCCCTATTCTTTGGGGATTTCCCGCTACTTGGAACAACCAACCCTCATGTGCTGGGTTCTTCACGGAGTTTTGGTTGCTTTTTTAATATACGGGATGTGTCTCCCCCTAGGCTGCGCGCTCCTAGGGCAGGGACTGTGCCCTCTGGAGCCCAGGACCTGGCTCAGACACTTTGTGCTGAGTAAGTGGAAATTCATGAGCGGATCAATGAATGTACAACAGATCGAACTGTAGGACAAGGATGGTGGCCATGTGTTTCTTATGCCCTGTATCTTTTGGGAAGATTTCAAGCTCAGAAGGGCGGAAACGGCTGTTGAACTTTTTTGTTTTAATTAAGGTGAAATTCACATAACATAACATTAACCCCTTTAAAATGAATAATTCAGTGGCATGTATTACATTTACGATGTTGAGCAACCAATATCTTTATCTAGCTCTGAAACATTTTTATCACCCCAAAAGGAAAACTGGCGGCATTAAGCAGTCACTCCCCATTCCCTCCTCCCCCCAATCTCTAGCAACTACTAATTATTTTCTAACTCTTTGGATCTACGTATTCTGGACGTTTCATATAAATGGAATCACAGTATGTGGCCTTCTATGTCTGGCTTCTTTCACCTAGCTTGATATTTTTAGGTTCATGCCTCTTGTATAATGTATCTATCAGTACTATTAGTACTTCATTCCTTTTTATGGCTGAATAATATGCCTTTGTATGTGTACCACAGTTTGTTTATATATTCATCCATTGATGGATATTTGCATTATTTCCAACCTTTGTGAATAGTGCTGCCCTTAACATGCCTGTGAATGTTATTTGTCTTGAGTACCTGTTTTCAATTCTTTGAGATATATACCTAGGAGTGAGATTGCTGGGTCCTATGGTGATTCTGTGTTTACCTGCCAAAAAGAAACAGCCAAAAAGCTTTTCCTAGTGGCCTAATGAATGATTTTACATTCCCCCCAGCAAAGTACGGAGATTCGTATTCTCCACACCACCACCAACATGCCCTATTTTTCATTTTTGTGTTACAGATTTGAGGCTATTGCTGCCCTCCTAGCTCCCATCACCTACAGCCCTAGAACAGAGACTGAGCCAGGTCTTTTGACTACAGAGAAATACCCAAACACTTCCCAGGATCAGGAGCACCCAAAAATTAAATAAATAAATAAATAAATAAATAAATAAATAAATAAAGACACTTATAACTAAGAGTTTTACCTGCTCCTTTTTTTTTTTTTTTAAAGATTTTATTTATTTATTTGACAGAGAGAGACACAGCGAGAGAGGGAACACAAGCAGGGGGAATGGGAGAGGGAGAAGCAGGCCTCCCGCCAAGCAGGGAGCCCGATGCGGGGCTCGATCCCAGGACCCTGGGATCATGACCTGAGCCGAAGGCAGACGCTTAACGACTGAGCCACCCAGGCGCCCCTTTACCTGCTCCTTGTTAGTCATCTTTTTTTTTTTTTTAAAGATTTTATTTATTTATTTGAGAGAGAGAGAATGAGAGATAGAGAGCACGAGAGGGAAGAGGGTCAGAGGGAGAAGCAGGCTCCCTGCTGAGCAGGGAGCCCGATGCGGGACTCGATCCCGGGACTCCAGGATCATGACCTGAGCCGAAGGCAGTCGCTTAACCAACTGAGCCACCCAGGCGCCCTCCTTGTTAGTCATCTTAACAATAATTTGTTTTGTGTCCAAGTGGCTTTGAAATTGTCCAGAGAACCTGTAAACTAAGACCGTCCTGAGGGGGTCGCTATTGACAAACTTTATAACAATCGCCTCACTGGAACCCAAGGCAATACACCTTTTCTACCTACAGCTTACCTCCCCAGGGCCACATAAGACATCCATGAATATTTTCTTCTCAAATGAGGACATAGTCCAAAGGAAACTATTGGTGTGTGAAAATAGAAAGCCAACTGAGATTAGAAATGTGATTGATAGAGGGTACAGTATGGGAAAAGCAGTGGATTTAACGGATAGATCTGTCTGAATCCCGACTTTACTGCCTGTATCTTTGTGAACTAAGTTACACTCCTTGAATCTGTTTTCTCATTCTAAGGTAGGAATAATAATACCTACCTGGCAGGTAGATTAACTGGCTAGTCCTCACTTCAGTAAATGACCAGTATCACTATTGTTATTTTTGTTTATTTAAAATAATGGTGATTGACATGAGCCACATGCCAAAATGCTGCTAAGGAAACACAGAAAAATTCACATTTAATCATGTGTCTCCTTCTCGAATTAAGAGAGTAAATGATCTCCAAAACTAATGTGACCATGGGCGCCTGGGTGGCTCAGTTGGTTGGGCGACCGCCTTCGGCTCAGGTCATGATCCCAGGATCGTGTCCCGCATCGGGCTCCCTGCTCAGCAGGGAGTCTGCTTCTCCCTCTGACCCTATCCCCTCTCATGTGCTCTCTCTCTCTCATTCTCTCTCTCAAATAAATAAAATCTTAAAAAAAAAAAAAACTAATGTGACCAGGATATCTACTCAGACCTGTAATGTGGTCATTGCCCTCCCAGCTCTCTCTTTGTTCCTAACTTAGCTCTCCATGTTCCTTGCCCTTGAACCAGCTTCTTAACCTGTCTGAACCTTCTCCAGAAAGTAGAGTAGCAATACCTACTTAATAGGGTTGTTTGATGATTCAGTAACGTATTGTATTTGTAAAGGGCTTAGCACAATGCAAGTTTCAAAGAAAATACTCAATAAATGTTAGCTATTACTTCCTTATTAATAATAAAGTTGTGGGACGCCTGGGTGGCTCAGTTGGTTAAGCGACTGCCTTCGGCTCAGGTCATGATCCTGGAGTCCCGGGATCGAGTCCCACATCGGGCTCCCTGCTCAGCAGGGAGTCTGCTTCTCCCTCTGACCCTCTTCCCTCTCATGCTCTTATCTCTCATTCTCTCTCTCTCAAATAAATAAATAAAATCTTTAAAAAAAAATACTAAAAAAAAAATAATAAAGTTGTTATAACTTCTTTATAAAACTGTTAACAAAAGGGTGGAGTCCACAAAGAGTCTAATAATAGGAAGCTACAGAGAAAGAACACATCCGTGTGACTCATCCCTTCCCTATGGTTGCCTCAGGCAGTCCATCACCACATTGGAGATGCATGATGTATTGCACTCTGATTTGGTGTTGAGAGCAACTCTGACAATGGTCTACCTTTTGCTCAGATCCAGTCTCACCAAGCAGTCTTGACCAAGGAGTTGGTTTCTGCAAAAGTTTTCTTACGGGAGGAAAAATAGACTGATCATCCAATCTGAACACTCCAGAGTTCTGAGAAAGTACAATTCTCTTTGCAAATTAATATACTGGTTTTTAGTTTATCCATGTGCCTGTTATGATTTTGACTGGCCAGATCCAGTCTCCCTAAAATCCAATTTTTTAAAAGATTTTATTTATTTATTTGAGATGGAGAGAGAGAGAGAGAATGGGAGCGGAGAGGCAGAGGGAGAAGCAGGCTCCCCACTAAGCCGGGAGCCCCATGACGGGGCTCCATCCCAGGACCCTCAGATTGTGACCTGAGCCGAAGGCAGACACTTAACTGACTGAGCCACCCAGGTGCCCCCCTAAAATCTAATTAAGTGTAGACATAGAAACTACTTTCATCTGGCTTTTTAGGGCAGGAACCTAAGTTGAGCAGGGCCTCACAGGAACTTAAAAGTCAATAGGAACCAATTTTTTCTCTCTCTTATTTGAGGTGCGTCTTTCTATGTCTCTACCTCTCTGACTTTTTCTTGTCTCTCAGTCCCTTCTCTTTGTCTTGGTCCATCTTTGTCTCCCTCTGTGCCTGTGCTCCTTCTCCCCTATCTCCCAGACTGCTCTCTCTGCTTATTCACCTGCACTTGACCATCATGGATACCCAGGCGTAGGGTAGAAACCTCCTTGTCTCTTGGTTCATATTTACCCACACAAAAAATGTGATTGGCCCATCTCACCATTTCATGCCAGGACACAAGCTGGAAGCTTATGAATTGACTGCTTTCGGACTAGAAGTCCACTTCTAACTCAATCAGCAGTTATGGGATGCAAAGGAGGCATCAT